GAGTTTGGCTTTAAACTTTTGGTAAAGTACTTGAGACATTCACGAACTCCAAGATTGATCACGTGAGCTAGACATCCGTTCAGATTTTGAGATCGAGAAAACTGTGGAATGACTTCTTCAAGAGCGGAAGCTAGGGTACCGTTGTTGGATGCGTTATCGGCGGTGATACAGTAAAGTTTAGAGCGTATCGAAAATTCATCAAGGACACGGAGTAGATGATTAGACAAATTTTGACCTGTGTGTGGCCCATTGATTTCAATAAGTGAAAGTACCACATTCTTCAATTTGAATTTTTCATCAATCCAATGTGCAGTGACTCCGAAGACAGATTTGTGATTTGGGGAGGTCCAGGAGTCGCAAGTGAGGTTGATATGATTGAATGAACGGAAGTAGTTTACCAGACGTGCTTGATAAAGGTTGAAGGTTTGAAATATCTCGTCTTTCAATGCAGTAGGGGATATAAAAAAAGACTTGATATTTGGATTCACAAGTAACAAGAGCTTCTGAAATGCATCTGAGCTGACAAATTGAAAGGGCATCTCATCTTCTACGCACATCTTGACCAGCATTTTCTTGAAAGAATCAGGTGTCAAAGGTTCCTAAAACAAGAATGACTCAAGATATCAGCTTGTGGCACCCAAAAATGAAATGCCACACCAAAATATAACTATAAACAAACCACTTTGGATGCTCCCTCAGTCTGCTGGCGGAATTTTTTGTTTGATGACATTCTATGAATTTGTTCGAGATGACGACTGAGTGATTTAGTTGAACCTTTTGTATCTTCAGTTATTTCACTCAAACATAAATCACCGGCTGAATGCTGAGAAGGAAGCTGGCAGACAAATTTGATCTTCCTATCTATGATAGAAGGTTCAAAGTATGGCCACACCCAGGAAGTCCGTTTGTTCTTTGTTTTTTGGAAATCTTCCAAACGTTTTTGGAGTGCTGCCAGGCTGTTGGGTGAGCCAGATTTGTTGTAGGGATTTGAGTGTGAAGTGTTTGAGATTCTGTGCTGAGCTATTGAAGGAGAACTGAGGTTGTTTCTCCTTGAAAGTTGGAGATCAGAGCTTCTAGATAATTGTGACATAATGAAAATGAAGTATGTTTCAGGCTGCAGTGTGTTTCAAACTTCACGTGTTGCAGTGTGTGGAGTTTCATCCAACCCAGCCTCCACGTGGCGCCATGGTATAGCCCCGGCTGAGGAGGGCCTTTACCATGGCGCCACGTGGAGGCTCTGTCTATCAAGGGCTAGAGCAGGGCATGCCATACCGGGTGCAGGCCATGGCCTCCGCCATGGCCCTGGGCCCTGAAAAAAGCACCGGGTGTGAGCGTGACAAAGACCGGTCACCGAAGGGACACGGCTGGTATCTTTCATGTCGTCCGTCATCAACTCATGGTCGCTCCTCAAGCTCCGCTCAACGACATTAACTCAACGACTCAATTCCAGCCAAACAGTTCACTCGACCTTATGCAGTTCCTGTTTCGTACCCTTTCACTCATTTTCAAAACATCGAAGTCACACGATTTTGATTTTTTTTCTCGATTCAGATTATTAGCAGAGGAGGTGCGCATTTTTGCTCTTTGAGTCTTTGTTTCTAGATCTTACGATACTCACCAAATTCATTATTTAATTGGTAACGGGAATCAACTTATGCAATTGCAACTAAACCTCACAAGTCAAGTATTCTTCTCTTTCCTCTTTACAATTTGCATATATCATGTGCTGATTTTTGATTGATCTTTGTTATTTTCCCGATAGGGCTAAAAACCAAAATCAAAATGAGACTTGAATTTAGAAATCAAAGGAAACAAAGGAAAAGATTTAGAAGATACATATCATGAAATGTCATCATGTTTAATAAGAGTCGGAGAAACAGCTGCCAAATTCATCATACAAAGATTTCCTACTTTAAAGCATTTACATTCTTCTTGAGAAATTATTGAGAGAAATTAGCAAACTGGGCCCGAGAGTATGTTGGTGGGGTTTAAGGTAAGTTTCTTAGTTTCTTCACTTGTAAATGAAGTTTGGGGTTGATTTGGTTTGGTTTTTTTTCGTGGATGTGGGGGAGCACAGAAAGGTAATGGATACAAAGCGATTGGTAGCATCACTTCGAAGAAAATATCTGATATTTCATGTTCTTTTGAAAGCTATGATACTTGTATAAATAATACTCGAGAAAGCATAATCTTCTTCAGATATAGATTTCTTGAAAAAAAAGGATCCGTTTTTTGTTTTTCATCTTTGTTTTCTCTCAAATGAATCAAACATTCAAAGTTTCACTCCCGCTTCGTTTTTACTTTGTTTGAAAGTATTAAGGGTGATAGGTTGTTTTTAGTGAGATTTGATGTATTGATGATAAATTTGGCTCTAGAGTAACAATGATTTGATTACAGAAGTTAAAAAACTGAGTATAGCAGATGCCGGTGTGCTAGTGAGAAGAGCCCTCTCAGTGGTTGAAAGCTTGGATAGAAAGGTAGGGCAGTAGAAATTTTCTGGCAAGTTTTTCTTTACCCTTCGAGAGTAATCGATCCCGATTGCAGGCGCTCTTCTTGAATCAAATCTGTTGGCTGCCCAACGAGAACCTTTGCTGTCTTTCTGATACTTGTAAGACAGCTTATCAAGGACACGAAAAAACTCATTATACTTGCTGCTCCTCCAGTCAGGACAAGTTATTCATATGTAATACATGCTGTAACTTCTTTCAGATTGAAAAAAGCTTCCAAAAGATTGACTACATACACTGACTCAATGTTTTGGTGTGATCTCATCAACTCAACTGCATGTAACACACTTTCTGTTACTAAGACATAGCTTCAACAATATTGCCTGAGCAGCTACAGAATTATATGTAGTGAATTTTTGGGAAAAAAATTTCAAAGTTGAAAAAGTTACATGTGGTATAACATGTGATTTATTTATTCTGATGGGCAAAAAACTGAGCAGACCTGTATGTACATGATAGACAACTATTGACTTAGCTTGCTGCACATATGGCTCTAGAGTAACAATGATTTGATTACAGAAGTTAAAAAACTGAGTATAGCAGATGCCGGTGTGCTAGTGAGAAGAGCCCTCTCAGTGGTTGAAAGCTTGGATAGAAAGGTAGGGCAGTAGAAATTTTCTGGCAAGTTTTTCTTTACCCTTCGAGAGTAATCGATCCCGATTGCAGGCGCTCTTCTTGAATCAAATCTGTTGGCTGCCCAACGAGAACCTTTGCTGTCTTTCTGATACTTGTAAGACAGCTTATCAAGGACACGAAAAAACTCATTATACTTGCTGCTCCTCCAGTGTAAGGTAACCGCTCGAAGGTTGTGGTGTTCATCTTCTTCAGTGTCAGAGCAACAAGTAGAGTCAGGAACTAATACATCAAGAAGAGCTAGAAGTTCTCCATCTGAATGTAAACATTCCTCAATAGTTGCCTGACAATATCTTTTGAGCTGTCAGAATTTGATCAGTCAAAGAAATTGGCTAATCACCATATGAAGAGCAATTCAATCCACCTACTTTTGCTCTGTCCTTCTTCTGCTTCTCTGTCTTCCTAAATCTCGGATTTATGCGGTTGTTCTTGAAAATCTGGCAGTGTCCGCGAAGCCATCGCTCTAGAACTCCAAGACAGACATTAGTACCCCCATGCTGTTCGTTGATGGGGTACTTAGCGAATGCGCCTGTATCATGAGCTCGCTGGAAGTGCTTAACAACAAACGCCAGCATGACTTGATTCCACTTTGATTTGTCGGAGAGATTCCAAGCAAACGTGGCCCTAGGGATCCCTGCCTGTTCCAAGTCGAGTAGGAACTGCTGCTTGTGTGTTTCCCAGCACTCCTCCTGTCGACGAGAGATTCATGGTGATTCCAAATTAAAAGTGGCAGGTTCCAATGGTATTGAAAAGATTGAGCGGTCGGTGACTATTTGTTCAAATGTAAGATCTGGAAGCTGTGTGATTTCTGAGGAGGTCGGTTCGGTTGGATAAGGGGAGTCTAATGCAATACGACCAAGCAGAAATTTTATAAAATCTGTCGTTGCCACATAGTACGCTGAATTGCGATCTGGTAGCCAATCAGCTACTGTTCGATTTGTAGCTTTCACTGAGGTTGCTGGTCCATCATCCTTCCAGAACATTGTCTCACCGCCTTAAAATGAAATAAAATTTGCTTCAACAGAAGCAAATAAAGATAGATAGACATATCATGGGCTGACCTTGATGACTCATGATTTCTTGCTCGACTAGAATTTGAAGAAGGGCGATGGCGCAAAAGGCACCTGGATGATTGATGAATTGATGTTGATCAAACCTGTCGGGATTCGGAGGAGACTTGAAACTGATGGTATTTAAAGGTCAGAACTCCAGAACTCCAATGTTGAGAGTCGAGTGTTGAAAGGAATTTGGGATAAAAAGTCCTTTGTTACTGGAACTACTTTCAAAAAGTCCTTTGATACTCGAACTCGTTTTAGCTTCTAAGACGGACAAAGGCACACACACAAATGAAGGGATCTTGCATTTTTAGCTCGATGACAGGAAAGATCTCCTCCAAACGATTGCTCTTTAAGAATGACAAATTCCATTTGATGATAGAATTGAATACATAACTGAAAGATAACAAAAAATTGAAACAAAAGGAAGGATAGAATGATGGTAATAATTAAATTAGAACTAGATTTAAATCGATTGTCTTGATCAATTTCTTGCTGTTCCGTCCTGTATGAAAACATTCGGTTATCCAATCATGGTGTGATGAGCCACTCTCATAATGATGACACATACAAAGAAGAATGCAAACTTGACATCATAGATCTGAATATTGATAGCTTTTGCAAGAGAAATTCTCAGTCTATCTCTCAAAAAGCGCGTATCCTCTTTGCCCAATTTGACAAGCTTAAAACTTGAATCTTATCAAAAATAGTATTTAATGGTACATAAACAAAGCATGACAAATCCCTTCACGAAGCAATGACGATAAATTACAAACAGAAAAATAAGTAATGAAAGACAATGATCTCAGACGCGTCTGCGCCAGTCCTGTGCTTTGACAACCATACCTTGGATGTCATAATCCGTGGAAGAGAGCTGAAGTGCAGCAATCTCCGCCCTTGATAATGAATTCAAAAATGTAGAGCTTGTCAATGATCGCGGAAATCCCTTTGGAGGATAACAAACATCTTTCACATCATCTTCCATTTGCACATATTTGCCACGGTCTAAAACTTTGATTGCGAGACCATAAGCGCGTGCACTGGCACCAGCTTGACTCAACTTGTACAGCTTATCAAGTTCACCCAAGAAATGGGTTAATGCCCGTGATCTCCAGGGTATATATACTCGATGACGCGTGCCAGAGTCATCAACTTCGTCTTCTGAATGAACTGCTGTATCTGATAGAATGTTGTACATTTTTAAGTTTGTGGCAAAGTACTTTTGCATCGCTGCCAATCAAAAAGCTAAAACCTAGCATGAAAATGAACACATGTATTAGTGAAGTCACCTCGCCAATGTATGTTACTAAGTTGAGGACCCACTCTTTTTTTTGAGTTTTTCCGTGCAACTTTTTCTCGTCTCAAGTCCTCTTTGATTATAGAAGGGTTGATATCCTCCCCTCGCTGCCCATCTGCATCCGTAGTTGCGCTGTCTTCTGTTAAGCCACTTGAATAATCCCTTTTTTTGTATTCGTACCACCGTTCAAGAACAAGAAACTGATTTTCTGCTGTGGCCTGACGACTGTTAATCAAATAAGCGTCGGCCCCACCCCTTGCGTAACATTTTGCCCATTCTTGAAGGACGATTGCCGCAACAGCTTCGTTCCAAGCAGACTTCATTGAACTTCTCCAATCAAATGTAAATCTTGAGAACCCAGCCAGAGCCAACGCGCCTTCACACGTACGTAGCTCTCGAATAGAATACTTCAGGCCTGGATTTATTGATGGTATCTGCAAGACAAAAACAGATGGCTGAATATTTGATACCGCTTCTTCCGCTGCGTCAGCCTGAACAGCGAGTATCTGACTTGGCTTGGCATTTGGATACTTTCGTCGATAGCGGTAAGTGGCTTGATCAACACAATTTTCGATCCATATTCGTTTATCGAGTTTGCGTTGTTCCCAGGCTTCACATTCAGTAAGTGAGGGAGGGTCCGGAAGAATACTATTCGATATGATAGAAGGGTCACGTTTGACCTTGCGCTGAATACCAAGCAACAATTTTACGTAGTATTGAATAGATTTGGACAAAGCATCGTATGGAGAAGGCCTAACTGGGGTCTGTGCTAACTTTTCGAGGCGGGATTGAACATGCCTGTCGCGTGTTTCCTTGTCTCGTCGGTCTATGCGTTTGCGCTTGTACTTCAGGTTCTCTTCTAAATCAATGAACGAATCATCCGAGTTCAAATCTTCATCTTCTGACGCAGAAGATGAAGAGTTGCTGATGGGTGATTTGTAACGGCTCAATTGTGAGCTGGGGCTGTTCAAGTGACGATTCCGTGAGGCTTTGGATGATCTCCTACCAGACGGGGTTTTTGATCTCAAATGGGTATGTGGGTGTGGTCCTGTGGAATCAACGGAGGCTCGGATTTGATGATCGACGGGACGCGCAGGTGGTGATAGGGAGGTTGAAAGATGAGAAGCTGGGATGCGGGATGGTCCAGCGATGGGCGAATGTGGTCCTGAAACATCAATAGTGGCCAGAGTATTCAAAGCTGGGCGTTTTCCCAAGGCAACATGAGATGGTCCAGCGAGTGGTGTGTAATTTGAAACCGGATTTTTTTCTAATGAGATACAAGATGGCTCAGCAACAAGAGCGGATGGTACTGGGGGATCAACGAGAATTGCCGCAAGAGGGTTTTGACCTTGTGTGTTGTTGTAGGACGGGAGCGCAGATGATTGAGATTGGTTGGATGTTGGGACTTTAGCTTCCAAACGAAGGCTACGGGCCTGGGAGATTGTGCTAGGTCCAAAAGCAGGCGCCAGAGTACGTGATTGCTGGGATTGATGTTTGGCCGGAAGGGTTTCATATCTTTTATCTGGTTGCTTGAGTTGTTTACCAGAGGACGTATCATCATGATGATTTGGTTTACGAGGAGGGTGCATGATAGGAGGTTTTACTTTGGATTTCTTTTTTGCCAAACTTCAGACCTACATCAGCATCATGGTTTGTAAAAAAATGATGTGAATACCTACGTGAGTTACTTTGCTTTCGAAGTCCACTTTTTTCAGCGACTGGGACCAGCAGTTTCACTACCGCTTCTGCATCTGCAAATTTGAATGCAATTGGGCCGTCATGTGGCGTTGTTTTATTCGCATTTGACCACTCGGTATTTGGAGGACTTTGATTTTGGGGTGATGTGACTTGGACATTCAGATCGACTCGTTTGCCTGGTGATCATGATATATCAGTGCAGGAACGTTCAACACGTTGGTTATAGTAGATTAGAATCAAAATGGGGTACCTAGAGACTCCAGCATTTGAGATTGGTCTGATACAAGCTCCTGGCCCTCTCGTTCGAGCATATTTTCTAAGATTGATAGAACACCGACAACAAAACATTGACACTGTTAAAAACAACTCGATGTAAGGAAGACACAAGGCCTACCCTTTGGCGGATGCAGATAGACCTCTGACGGGGTATTCAGTTGGTTGATGTTTCTGTGTGGGGTGCTGTGTAAGACACTGCGGTGGCGTAAGCTATCGGACTTGGAATTCGCCGAGTTAGAAGCTGTGATAAAACACCACAGTATATCCATATCAGCATAAGCATCGATGGACTTTTTGTGATCTTTCTTGACTAGAAAAGGTGCGAAATCTACCAAAGTTATCTTCT